TTCTCAGTAATATGCCAGAATTCTTATGGTGTTCATCACAATTGGCACAAGAAGAGTATATTTTGGGAGTTGCCATATTGGAAACATCTTCTTTTGCGCCACAACCTCAATGTGATGCACATAGAGAATATTTTTTTTGAGAATATCGTGAACACTATATTGAATATCCCAGGGAAGACGAAAGACAACATAAAATCGAGGTTGGACTTACTAGATATCTGCTCAAGAAGTGAGTTACATATAAAAAGAAATGGGCAAGTTCCAGTTCCGATATTTAGACTGTCATCAGAAAAAAAAGTCAGTGTTGTTTAACTGGGTGGCTTCAGAAGTGAAGTTTCCTGATGGGTATATTTCAAATCTCTCAAGATGTGTTGAGAAAGGTCGAAAGTTCTCCAAGATGAAGAGTCATGATTGTCATGTCTTTATGCAACGACTACTTTCCTTTGCATTTGCGGAGCTACTACCAGCAAAAGTACATGAAGCACTTGCATGTAATATAATACGCAAACATTAATTAATTTCTTTATATATATGTACATATAAATATGATTATACTAATGTGTTTAATTTTTGTAATATATAAGGAATTGGAGCATTTTCAGGGATCTGACCACACGCACTCTTAAAGAGGATGTTGTTCAACAACTTCATGAGAACATCCCCATCTTAATGTGCAACTTGGAGAAACTATTTCCACCGACATTTTTTGACGTCATGGAGCACCTAGTTGTCCACCTCTCATATGAGGCGTTGCTTCATGGACCTGTATATTACAGATGGATGTATCAGTATGAAAGGGCCATGAAAACTTTAAAAGGAAAAGCTAAAAACCTCGCAAATTTTGAAGGTTCTATATGTGCGGGAAGTTTGACAGAAGAAACATCGGATTTCTCATGGTACTACCCTGCACCAATGTACGTACAAGGAAACAGGCTCCAAGAAGATATGATGATGGTGGTGTCGTGCCGACATATATGGAAAAAGATGTTCCAGGCATCTTTTGTCAAATTCGACGATTGGGTGGAAAATTGAAAAAAGTTTGGTTGTCGAGTGATGACGACGTCCATAGTGCACACATTTATATTCTTCTCAACTGCGAGCATCCATTGATTTGTTATTTTGAAAGGTAAACATATAAACACGTTCATACACACTTATATATTTTCAATTGATTAATTAACATAACATAATTTTATAGCGAATTTGTGACTCAAGTCGAATAAGTAATCCAGGTATATCGACAACTGAGTTAATCCCAAGGAAAGATCAACACTTTATCAAGTGGTTGAGGAAACATGTATTATAACTTAAATTTTTATGCATACATATCCCTGATAGTAAGTTTAATTTAAAGTAAATGGAATTTTTTGCAGGTTGATTATGATGATCCCGCTTATCCCGCATGGTTTCGCGAATTACTTCAAGGTCCAGTTGCAAATGTCACCACATCATCGATGTATTTCACACGAGGCTATACTTTTCATACCTATGACTATGGTAAACACCGGACGACAAGTAATTATGGAATATATGTGAAAGGCGAAACATAGTTCTAGGAGATCTTGCAGGAGATTTATGAAGTTCAATTCCCAGGATTATTGAAGCTGAAATGCGTCATCTTCAAGTGCGAGTGGTTCGACCCCGTTGTCAATAGAGGTGTTCGGATTAAAAAATTCGGTGTAGTTGATTTCAATGGTGGACGAAGGTTCAAGAAATTCGAGACTTTCATATTAGCTTCACAAGCAGACCAATTTGCTTCATTCCATACCCTCGGATGACAACCTCATGAATAAATTGGTTAGCTGTTATCAAAGTTACACCTCGTGGACGAATAATCGCTGGAGAAGAACCAGCATTACACTACAAGAAAACGTTGGTCTAATGACTACATATTACGACTACATACATGTAGTCGTAATTTACCATCTCATTTACGGCTAAGTTACGTCGACGAAGGCATTAGTCGTAAAAGAGAGGTTAATTTGCTACCAATGAATTTAGTCGTACATTAGTCGTAACAGAACGACCAATGTACGACTGCGTGTTCGCGTAGACGTACATTAGTCGTTCAATTACGACCAATGTACGACCACTGGTGTTTGGGACTTCGGTTTATGGTTTAAAGGCAAGTCGATGCTAATTGGTCGTAATCTACGACTAGATTACGATTAATTGGTGGACATAGATGCTAATTGGTCGTAAATCATTCGAAGTTAATTAGTCGTAACATCTCCTATAAAAAGAGCCATCGTTTTCTCCAAAAGCCACACAAATACTTTGAAATATTTGAAAAAGAGAGTTAATAATTGAGTCGAAAGATTTAAAAAATCTGAGAAAAAGAGAGAAAATGCTACTCGGATCACAACCCCGAAAAAATCAATGCAGGACGTACGTTGAAATGTTGGTTTCGCTTAGAATCTACGGAGTTGTGAGTCGAGTATCTTTCTTTCTTTTTTTTTCAAATATTACAAAAGTAGTCTCTAATTGGTCGTAAATGCCATTAGTCACTCATTGGTTGTAATAGTACGACTAATGTACATCTAATTTTTTTTAACCACCAATTAACGACTAACCAGCGTCCACAGAAGTTGTAAATTGGTCGTAAAAGTGCGACTGCATTACAACTAATAATTTTGCATCTATTTAACTACTAAGTTAACTACCTACCAAAATCAAAATTTCTCTATAAATATGATATTCTCCCTCATTCTTAAAACGGAAGAAAAAACAGAAAACTTTAAAAAAAATGTCTAGAAATAGTTATGAGATTCGGAGTTGGATGTATGCACATAAAGATTCAAGGGGAAGAGTAACTGACGAATTTCTCAACGGAGCAGAGATGTTCATGAACCAGGCTGGACAAACATCTCTCACACATGAAACAGGTAAAATGTTATGTCCTTGTCGTAAATGCAACAATACGAAGTTTGCTGCTAGTGAAACGGTTTGGAAAAATATAGTAAATAGAGGATTTACTCCACATTACTATATTTAGTTTAACCACGGAGAAGGTGATAATTGGAATAAAGCTAGTAGTAGTAAACAAGTTGAAATTGTTCATAACAGAGAGGAACCGCATATGCTTTCTGAAAGTTACCTTCAAGAGGATCATCATATGGTAGATCATGATAGGATGCATGATATGGTCACAAATGCATTTTCGTGAAACAACATCTATTATAGAGGAGGTAGAAAATGTAGAGGGTCCCAGCTTGGATGCAAAAAGATTTTACGAAATGCTAGCAGTAGCTAATGAGCCAATTTATGAAGGTTGTAGAGAAGGTCTTTCTAAATTATCATTGGCTTCTAGGATGATGAATATCAAAACTAATCATAACTTACCTGAAGTTTGTATGGATGTATGAGCTGAGTTGTTTAAAGAGTATTTGCCTGAAGAAAATTTGTGTGCTGAATCTTATTACGAGATTCAAAAACTTGTTCATAGTCTTGGCTTTCCTTCAGAGATGATAGATGTTTGTATAGAAAACTGTATGATCTTCTGAAGAGACGATGCAGAATTGTTAAAGTGTAAATTTTGCAAGAATCTGCGATATAAACCGCAAGGACGTGGACGATGCCGTAGCAGCGGATGTGGTACTTATCCATTAAGGATAGATTGAAGAGATTATATCAATCTGAGATGACGGCATCATCAATGAGATGACATGCGGAACATACTCAGAAGGAAGGCGAGATCAATAATTCCTCTAATGCAAAAGCATGGAAACACTTAAATTCGGTGTACCCTGATTTTGCAAGCAACCCCCGGAACGTTTATCTTGGGCTCTATACAGATGGCTTTAGTCCATTTGGAATGTATGGAAGACAATACTCGATTTGGCCAGTCTTATTGACACCGTACAACCTTCCTCTAGAGATGTGTATGGCAAAGGAATTGCTTTTCATAAGTATATTGATAACTGGACCAAAGCATCCAAAGAGGTCATTGGATGTTTTTCTACAGCCTTTGATAAGAGAGCTGAAGGAATTATGGTCAACAGACGTGCAAACATATGATTGTTCAGCAAAAAAAAACTTCACAAGCAAGTCTCACTACAAGAAATAAGGGTTTTAATAGCATTAGATTATAGCGTTTTTGACAGTTGTGCTATTGTATACCAATATTAATTTTTTTTAATAGCGTTTATAAATTTAAAACGCTATGTTTGGTATCGCGGGAAAATAAAAATTTTAGCCGTGTTAATTTATTAAGTATAGGCGCCTTACCATTACATATCTAAAATTAAACGCTGTCGTAAATGTCGTAAATGTTAAATATATCAAATTTTAATAAAAAATACTTTTTTGAACAACAATAAAAATACTCTAAGTTAACCTTTGGGCTTGATACACAAAAAAAAGAGTCAATTCTCTCCCCCTGTCACTTTACGAGAAATCGAACAAGCACCATCCGACGACGTCATCTCCTCCATAACCGGAGGAGGCTTTCTGAGGAGAGGAAGAAAGGTCATCGTCGGCTTATGATTAGAACTCCTTCTCGTTTAATTTCAAGCTTGGAAGCTGCTTCTTCTTCGCCTCTCTCTCTTTCTTCACCTTCTTCGTTCACCAAGGTTCAAAATCATTCCCTTTTCCCTAATTTCATCCATTTGGATTTAAATTCGAGATTTTGTTAATGTTTCTGGCTTGATTGGGTTGAAGATTGGTTCAATTGGATTTAAAGTCGAGACTTTGTAAAGGTTTGTCGCTTGATTGGTTCAATTGGATTTTAGGGTTTGATTTTTTTTGAATCCAGGAGGGGAGGAGGATTAGTGTTAGGGACTGTGCTTTGTTTAAGCCACCTCAGGATTGCCCACCATTTATTGGTTTGATCCGTTTGCTCCTTCCTGAGAAAGAAGGCAACAACTTTAAGCTTCGTGTGAATTGGCTTTATAGACCCTCGAAGTTGAATTGAAAAAAACGTCCAAGAGAACGAAGAAGGAAGTGATTCTCTCGCGATAGAGAATGAGAAAAGTTTGAGACTTTGTTTGCGACTTTGGGAGATGGAGATTCCAAGCTCTGATGAGATACTTGAGTGTATGAGCTCTTGTCTCTCTCAGATCAAATGGCGACTCAAGCTCTCTTCAAAACGCCGCCTCGAAATAGGTTTCCATCTTTCATTCTCACAGATTTTGTATCAGATTATGAAGCTTGAGGATGCTTTTGTTTGAGATTCATTTTTTGCTTGGTGGGTTTATCAGGTTACATTATTTGTTAGGGATAAATCATTAAAAGTTTTGAACTTTAGCATCATCATCATCATCACTAGACTCTAGTATATGATCTCTGTAAGAGATGCTTAAAACGGGTTTTACTGGAACAGATGTGCTGGCACTCTGCACGGGAATGAGACCAGTTGTGATGATTGACTATGGTGGCAAGTTGCCTGAGCTACAAGATCGCCTGCTTTCTCTTCTTGAGCTTCTCCATGAGGTTGGTTTCTACTTCCTTCTTCAGTCACATTACTACTTGAGTATGTCTCTTAGGTGATTTTGTTCATGCTTGTGTCCTCTAGGCTTTACCGATTTTCAAATCTTTGAGGGTTATGGTTATAGAGGATATGATTTACCTGATCAATGTAACAAGACTTGTCAAGTGGTTGAGCTCAGAAACTGAATTGTTCTTTGTCGAACTGGAACAAGATCCTCCACAGGTTTCTCTTTGTTTCAGTGGTTTCTCTTTTCATGCTTCATCTCTTTAATTGGACTGAACTCACTCTTGCTGTTTTTTGTTCAAGATGGTAGAACAAAGCAAAGAATGCAGTCTAGGGATGGAACTTAAGTTGATTCAGAAGCTATTCTCCTCGACTTTTCCTTTAGATGGCGGCAATAATGATACCAAAATAGCTTTAGATGAAGCCAAGTCTTCTCAGTCTTCTTTATTCATTGATCTTAGTTGTTGTTTACGAGACACTAAGGTTACAATCCCTACATTAAACGGGTAATTTTCATATCCAACTCTTCACTCATTCATCATATAATATCAAGCCATGAAGTTTGGTGGTGTCCAAGTCTCTCCGCATCTACAAAGTTCTAGTACAAAGGTTAGAGCTATTGCATATATATATTTCTAAACTCTTAGCTTTCTGAACACCTTTGTGACATCTAACTTAAGATCTTCCAGGAATGGTACCAGTGGAGAAGACTCTCATTTAGAAGAGCTAACAAGGTAATAATCTATAAACCAAGACTGTGATTCTACGGACTAAAACAACAATGCGTCAATGAAAATAACTGAGTGTGTTTTCGCAGTTGTTGGATGTGTCAAAGAGATTAGGTTCTACTAAACACTAAGCTTATTAGTCTCTGATTATTCTATTCTTACACTTGAATTTTTTTTTATGACTAAAGTGGATGCTTTTATCTATAGGTGCTTCCTGGAATTTTGTTTTGTGAAGGCTAATAACGCAGAGGTTTCTGAGACTGTGAGGTTTCAGAGGTTTGGTAGTGCTGATCTATCCGAATGTTTAAGAAGATGAGATTGAGGTCGCTTATCCCTCAGATCGTTCAAGNTTATCTATAGGTGCTTCCTGGAATTTTGTTTTGTGAAGGCTAATAACGCAGAGGTTTCTGAGACTGTGAGGTTTCAGAGGTTTGGTAGTGCTGATCTATCCGAATGTTTAAGAAGATGAGATTGAGGTCGCTTATCCCTCAGATCGTTCAAGTTATCTATCTCAGATCTTTGTCCATGTTCTCAGTTGGAGCTGTGACAATTGCAGGCTCTTATTTAAGCTCAGATGTGCTACTTCTTGGCTCTTATTTATGAGTCAAGATTCAAGAAGTAGCAGATGTCATTTATTCTCATAGCTTCTCTTTGCCATGAACCTCGCATGTCAAGCTGTCTCTCTCTCTCTCTGGTTTGTTTTGTTTTTTGGTATATGAAGTGTTGTCGTGAGAAGAGTTGGTGGTCATGAGCTTAAACACAGAGGAGTCATGGCATTGTGGTAGTGGTGCCTTGTCGTGTAACCTCTGGTGCCTTGTAGTGCAACGTCTTTTTCTCGATTCTTTATCCACCAAGTCATCATCTCCTTTTGTCTTTGTGTTCAAAACAATATGTATTGACTTTGTATGTTATAAAACTCATCGTTGAGTTTGTTAGTTGTCTTTTGTTCCAAACTCTGTTTTTAAACACTTAAAACTATTGTTCAGATAAATTATAAATAAAAGCATAATTCTATACCCTAAACTCTATTTCATAAACCATAATTCCAATTCACATACCCCAAACATTAATAAATTTAAAATTTAAATCTAAAGTTAAATTCGTAAACTTTATTGATGTTAGTGTAGGATTATATGTAAAATGTATGTTTTATGAATTTAATGCAATGTTTCTTTTGGTTATACTAATAACAAGTTACAAAAGAAAACCCAACACTAATGAAACTAGAAAAAACAAAATTTACCTTATGTTCTAAACCCTAAACATGCCCTAAACCCCAACTACATATCTTAAACCCTATAATCTCAAACCCTATATCTTAAATTCCATTTTATACATAAATCTTCAATTTTAAACATTTTAATCCAAACACTCAAATATCATACAGAAATATTCAAATTTAAACATTATAATACAAACCCTATATATACTTCTAACCCTACTTATAGCTCCAAACCTTATATCATATTCCAAACTCTATATAAGAAATATTAAATCATAACATTTTAAATTTATAACACTTATTTTATACTAAATTATGAAATTATATAAACTATAAAATTTAAATAAATGAGTATATTCATAATATAAATTCAATCCCTAAACTCCTACCTCATACTTCATATTGATTTATATCATAAAACATTAAATCTGAAATTTTAATATTTTAGTCAATCACAAAATTTTAAAATTTAAATACAAAATACATATTAAAACTTTTAAATTATGATATCAAATTTTTTTTAAAGTTTAAAGAATTTTATAACAATTATAAAGAAAAAAAAAGATAATATGTACTGTTTTTTCAGAGCCATTGATTGATTTTTAAATCAAAGGTCCACAATCAATCCCTATCCATCTCCGCCTTTGTTTTCTATTGGTTGGACTCGGATCACCTTCGGCACCGTTAGATCATACTGAATCAACGCTTCAGATTTGTTACTTTCTTTTTCAATTATTTTCTCAGCGTTCCAGAGAGAGGTAAAAAAATGAGAGAGAGAGAGAGAGAGAGAGAGAGAGAGAGAGAGAGAGAGAGAGAGAGAGAGGCGACTGGGGGTATGCTGTGCTCGAAACCCTAGCAAAGCTCCGCCTCCTTCTCTTCTTCTTCCTCGTCGGCCACCTTCTCTTCTTCTTCCTCGTCGGCCTCCTTCTCTTATTCTTTCTCTAAACTCTCTGGTTCTCGAAATCTGATAGATTAAGGTTCTCTGATTTTTGTTGTTGTGTTTAATCGTCTTCACCGGAGTTGCACCACCACCGTCACTGATAACTTCTCTGTCTCTCAAGCTATGCCTCTCATTTTCTCTGTTTTTTTTGGACTTGTTGCAGTAAAGTTTTATGCTTTTTACGGTTTGATTTGAAGTTAAAGTTTGTTTCCTTAATTATTTGTTCCTTGTAAAGGTGGTGTTCGTGACTCGTGAGGAAGAGTTGGTGTTGTGCAGAGGGGATTTCTCGAACTCGCCTCAGTCTAGACTCACACGAATGTTGCAGTCTCTCACTGGAATGCCAAGATCATTCTTTGAAGGTATTGTGAGAGTAAAAACTGAGACTTTCTTCTTCTCAGAGTTTTGCTTATATCTGAGTCAGCATTATCATTCTCTCTGTGTTTTGTTCTTTTCTTGATTTTCTTTTTCTGGTTTGTGTCAAACTCGATAGTAATTGGTGGGGCTTCTGTGTATTCATCCTAAGAACTTGATTATTCAGGTTGTTGGAAGATAAATTTAGTTTCTTTACTATGAATTGCTGTCTTTAGTAACCTCTGTTCAGTATTTAGTTCTGCAAAAGGGTTGTCTTTTTTTATTAATTTTACTGATTGAAGTTGAACTGAGATTGTGATTTGAAGTTGGAGATTTTTCTGATGTTTAATCTGTGTTTTTTTCTCTGTGTTAATTCAGAAAAATGTGAGATGGATGCTTGTGTCATTGCTTACTTGACTTCGGATATCCTTTGAAATCATTTTTATTGCTATACTTTTATTATTCTGAGTTAAAAAGATTATTTAAAAAAACAAATTGACTCAGTGCTAGTTCAGGGAAACTTGAGATAAATAATGTTGCCATCCTTACTGGTTTAATCCTCAAACATACTTGACGTTGGATGTTCCTTGTTTCAGTTTGTATCGCTATACTTTTTTGTTCCAATATCTATGTTAATTTGGAGAATTTGAGAGCGTGACATTCTCGTTATTTCATTTTTTTTCTCCTTTCACAGGGTTTTGACGAGTACATGAACCTACTGTTGGATGAAGCTGAAGAAGTAAGCATCAAGAAGAACACTAGGAAACAACTTGGTCAGTTTATCCTTGACTCACTATTTCATGACCGAGCCGAGCTTCTTCAGATCTTGTCTGATGCTAATGCTTAACTTTCCAGATGATGTAAGAGAGCATAGGCTTAAGGAGATGGCAGAGAAAGCTAGTGGTGGTGGTGGTGTAGGTGAAGGTGAACACGAAGAGAAGAAAGAGACGTAGAGCTGTAGATTTTGGTTTATTAAGTTTTGTTTAAATTTTTTAGTTATTAAATTTTTGGTTTATTTAGGTTTGGTTAATTAGGTTTTGGTTTAATTTTATAGGTTTAATGTATAAACTGATTTTATTTGTAAACAAAGTTTAATTACTGAATAAAATTGAATAATTTAAATTNTTAGAGACGCTATTAAAAAAATTTACAATTGCATAAACGAAAACGCTATTACTAAAATAATATCAATAGCGGATAACAAAACCGCTATCTAATGGACCAGACCTATTATCGCGGGCGATGTTGGAGCGCTTTCTACAACGCTATGGTATCGTACGATAGCGATTTTCGGGTGCTGTTAAAACCCTTATTTCTTGTAGTGTCTTTTGTGAACCATTAGTGACTTTCTTGCATACGGGATGTTGTCAGGTTGGACGTCGCATGGGAGACTATCTTGTCCTTATTTTATGGGAAGCACATACGCATTTCATCTGAAGAATGGTAGGAAAACTTCCTGGTTTGATTGTCATCGAAGATTTCTTCCCATTAACCATCCGTATCGAACGAATAAGAAATTGTTTCGGTCAAAGAGGGTTGTAAGGGACATCGCTACACCCTATTTAACTGGAGAAGAAATCGAGAAAAATATTGCTTACTATGGAGGACTAGACACAGTCACCATGGGGAGTAATTGGCAAACTCTTGCAAATATGCCCGACAGTTATGGACACAACATAATTAGCACAAAAAGTGTATATTTTGGGAACTTCCATATTGGAAAGATCTACTTCTGCGCCACAATCTTGATGTGATGCACATAAAGAATAATTTCTTTGAGAACATCATCATTACTTTGTTGAACGTCCCTGGGAAGACAAAAGATAACAAGAACTCAAGGTTGGATTTGTCTGCATTATGTTCTAGGGTTGAGTTGCATATTCAAAACGATAGGAAAATTCCGGTTCCCATTTTCATATTGTCAGCACCAGCAAAAGCGGTGTTGTTCAAGTGGGTTGCATCTGATGTGAAGTTTTTAGATGGATATGTTTCAAATTTATCAAAATGTGTGGATCAGCATGGACAAAAAATTTCAGGGATGAAGAGTCATGACTGTCAGGTGTTTATGCAACGACTTCTACCATTTGCATTTGCGGAGTTACTTCCAAAAGATGTTCACGAAGCACTTGCAGGTAACAAATAATATTAAAGTTATTAATTATTACTTTTTGGCTTGTATATTAATTATTTGTAGGCATTGGAGCTTTTTCAGAGATTTTAGCACACGCACCTTAATTGTAGATGTAATTAGACAACTTGATGAGAATATTCCGATCTTGATGTGCAATTTAGAAAAAAATATTCCCTCCGACTTTTTTTTGACGTCATGGAACATCTTGTTATCCACCTTCCGTATGAGGCACTGCTTCGTGGACCTGTTCATAATGGATGGATGTATCCTTATGAGCGAGCCATGAAACATTTAAAAGGGAAAGTAAAAAATCTGGCAAGAGTGGAAGGTTCAAAAGTTGCTGGAAGTTTGAATGCGGAAACATCTCATTTCACGTCGTACTACTTTGGATCACAAGCCCGGACACGGAAAAGAAGAATGAGCAGGTATGATGATGGTGGTGTTGTGCCGACATATGTTGTTGAAGACGTTCCAAACATATTCTGTCAGGTTGGACGTCTAGGTGGAAAATTGAAAGAAGTTTGGTGTTCGAGTTCTGAAGACACTCACTGTGCCCACACATATATACTCCTTAACTGTGAGGAGCTTGAGTATTTTGAAAAGTAAGTAGTATTCTTTATATGCCGTAAGGTTTTAATTACACATATACTACGATATTTAATATCATCAATT